TAAGTAACCAGTTTCAGCCCTTACAGCAGTTGCTGTTTCCCTGAATTGTGGGAAGTTTGTAAAGGGTCTGCGGTGTGCAAATGGAAGGTCGAAATGTATTCGGGGTGTTGAGCCTGCAGGAACCTTCCAAGATCCTTGGTTTTCTCTTTGGGAGGATAGCAAGTATCTTCTGAAATGATACATAGAATTGCTCTATAAATGCTGAGTTGAGTATAATAATTATTAAACAATGTTGTGGTTACTGGTTGCAAGGATGAATATAATATATATTGGCAAAATACACATGTTCCGCAGGACCCAGAGCAAATGGTGCTTAAGATAGAAATATAGTTTTCCAAGGTGAAAACTGTAGATATCCTGAGCTCCCAGGTGATCTCTAGAAATGTCTTTTGCCCTGTACCTGCAAAGATGATAAAGATGTTTAGATGGAACTGCAGAAATTTAAGAATAATAGCATGCATGTATGCTTTAGCTTTAGATAGTTCCCCCTTTGTCTAGGAAATAGTCCTTTTCAGACTTGTAATGACTAATTGCTGTGGATCTAGCAAAGTTATGGTTTTGACCAGCTTTATAATTGCACTGCAAGCCAGTGACTGGCAGGGGCTGGTAAGGGGACGGTTCTTTCCCCTGATGTTAAATTGCCTTAGCAGGGCTCTGGGGGTGCTTGTTAGGTGCTGGTGGGTGCTACGCCTTCGCTCAAAACAGTTGGGCTGTCATTTTGTCAGATGTTGAATTCAACCCTCATTTAAACTGTGAGCCATTCTAGGAGACTGAAGGTGTCCTTGTGATTCATGCACTGCTTTCTACTTTTGAACAGCCTTGTTGCTGCTTTGGGCAATAAAGGAGTCTTTTATCCATGAATCGGACTTCACTTGAATGAGTCTAATAGTGCGTGTAAATCTTAACTGGTTTGGTGAGACCCTGAGGAGTACTGTTACTTTCCCAGTGAATTGTCACCAACACAACGAAGTACTAAGTGTAGTGAATTGCTGGCTCAAACTTCCCAAAGAACTTTCTGCATCTTCTTCCTGGATAGCTGACTGCAACTGCATCTCTTACTTGTTTATATCATTTTCACGATAGAAATGAGCAAGGCCTGAGTATCAGGTTGTCAATCCTCTATCCAAGCTGTGTCTCTGCAGGGGTTTGGGGGAAGTCTGTGTTGGTAGAAAAGGAACAGTTTCATGCCTGTGTGGCTCTTGGGTTGGCAAAGTTATCTTCAGAAATGACAAAGCCCCCTGTAGAGTAGGATTTAAATAGAATGCAAGAACGTCAATATTCCAATCGCTGCAGTTAAAAGCCCATTTCAAATTATAATACACTATTAAGCTGGTAACATCAATTAAAGCATTAAAGTACAATTGGCATGGGGAAGGAGCGTCACTACAAAGCAAAAGAAAAGGTTTCTGGCTTCAAAATACAGGAGAGAGCAGGACCTGGAAGCTGGCACATCTGCAGCATGGAGCAAAGCTGGGTAAAACAAACCAGCTTTGTTATATGGTACCCATTGGGAACGCCTCTCTTTCTGCACACATTAGACTTGGTAGCAAGAATGTGTTGTCAGACTTGCTTGAAGGAAGCAAGTTGGCTTTTACCAGCTGCTGAAGAGTGATCTTCCCATACACAGACCCAGCAGTGATACACTGCCCTTATTCTTAGGCCAGGATGAGTCCATTCAGTGCTCTGCAGCTCACTGAGCTGGCTGAGGTTGCAGTAATGCTGTTGGCTTTCAGTTTGGCAGCCATTCCTACCTTCAGAGCAGGATTATGACAGCCCCTGTGATTCTCGTGTGCTGTGCAGTCAGCAGCTTGAAGTCAGTGCCCCAAACTGGAATTTGAACTGGAGATAGGTATATGCCAGAGAACATCTCTCCATGTTGTCCAGTCTTGTTCCAAGGTTTCAGACTTAAGAGGTCTCCGGGAGGTTGTACTCTTGCTGAATGTTTGTGATATTCCTGACTTGAGGGAGATTGTGGGTAAGGTGACAAATTAGGCTTCTATGGCAGACTGGGGAAGGCTGATATTGGAAGGCTACATACTGAATTAACTGCGTTTCACTTCTAAATAGCTTGAACTGCAACTGCATTTCAGTGTGTTGCTTGAGATGCTGTTCAAAGCTGTTTCTAAGGGATCTTCAGACATCTCAGGTAATGAAATGTCTTAGATACTGGCTGGTTCCCAATGTTCAGACTGGTTCATTGATTTTTATATTTATGGGGTTTGTTTGTTTTTTTTTTTTTTTCAGTCTTTCCTCTCTTGTTTCATACTTCCAGGTTTATGCTTGTTTTAGCAAGCAACCAGCCTGAGCAGTTTGATTGGGCTATCAATGACCGAATAGATGAAATGGTGAACTTCGATCTGCCCCAGCTAGAGGAACGGGAGAGGCTTGTGAGAATGTATTTTGATAGGCATGTCTTGAAGCCAGCCACAGAGGGTAAACAGTGAGTATCCCTGCAGAACGCTCCCACCCTGCAGGATTTCTTCTTGTATGGTTTTTCTTCATCTCCTTTTCTGTGTATTCTGTCACACTATCTATAAACCCGCTTTATACAAGTAGTGTACAGGTAGGAGTTGAAGAGATGCTTCTTGTTGTCCTATTATGGGGTGAGGCGCCATCCTAGAATTTCATGCCATGGTTTGTTGTGCCCATAAAATTTAGGAGACCAGTTACTGCACTGGAGGCAATAATGCAAGTAGAAACAATGTTGGAACTCCGCGTATCCAAGCACTTGTCTTTGCTTGACTTATCAGAGACAAATCGGACCAAGTTACTCGTTTCCTTGTGTGCTGTGCAGTCTTGCACTTTTTTTGGTCTTAATCCAGGTACACATATTTCTTTGTGCCACAAAATCGGGCTTTCTGGGCCCAGGAGAACAACTTCTGTTCTCAGGCTGGATCTTTCTACAGAGATAGATCCTATCTGATCTTTGATTTCGTTGTAAGTGTTGCTCTTTACAAAGCTTACCTCTGACTCCCTCACTCTCCTGTCCTGTGGCTATGTGTAAACTAAACCTTGTTCTTCTGCTTTTCAGACGTTTGAAGCTGGCCCAGTTTGACTACGGGAAAAAGTGCTCAGAGATTGCCAGGTTGACAGAGGGCATGTCTGGCCGAGAGATCTCTCAGCTTGCCGTAGCATGGCAGGTAAGTAGGGCTTTTATCACTCAGCCTCTTGGTTCGTTTTCCCTTTCTTTGATGTTGGAGTCTCAGGTTTTGTCTCACTTCTGGAAGTTTTGTGATGTCCATATGGCAGTACTAGAACGCTGCTAGCTCTAGGGTGGGTATCAGAATGTCAGCTTAATTCCTCATCTCGTAAATAGGAACTCTTTTTATAATCACCAATCCCTTACTGAATTTAAGCAAAGCCAAGTGACTTAGGGATGGGTTTGGGCAAATCTTGTTGTCCGCTACTCATGTTCCAGCTCAAGAAGCTCAGTAGAGGAGATGCCTAATATTGTAGCCCATAGGTATGACAGCATTGGGACACTAAAACGTCCTTCTGCACTGCCTTGTTCTAAATAGTGCAACTTCAGTAATTGAAGGAACAAAACTAGCTAGAAAATGGAGCTGAAAATACTATGTACTTCTACATGCATGGTACCTCTACAGAAATAAGAAATGCAGTCACTTTAAATGCAATTGTTCACATGTTCGACAACCTTAAGCACTTTCTTTTAATTAGGCTTTCACCCTGTTTTGTCACAGCTGCCAGTTTCTTCCTGGCTTGTGTATTTTTATAAACTACCCTAGTAATAGCAATTTAAGGAATATGTTCCAAATTGTACGTCATGTAACTTACTAATGTCATGTTCCTTTCAGGTGTTGTATAAACAAAAGGGGTTTGTTTGATTGTTTATTTTAGCAGTTTACAAACGTTATGCAGTTTGTGCCCTTTTTCCTACTACTTTTTTCCACCTTTTAAGGTACAGAAAGCGTTTATCCTTTGTAATCCATTGAACTGCAGTGGTCATGAGCTGAGGTCCAAAGCAGCCATTGGAGTGCTGTTAGTCCTTATTTTATTTTTTGTATGTTAGCACACAGCTGGTTAATTTTGGTGAATTTTGTATTATTGAAACATACTCCAAAATGTGTGCTGTTGTCCGAAAATGTATATAAAGCTTTATTTTCAATTTGTTTCTGTTCTGTGCCTGAAAACATACCAGATTAGTATTGTTACCAGCTCAGTCAAGAAGCTTAGCAAGATGCTTGATGGATATTTGAGATTCAGAGAGAGGTGGTGCATATTGATGGGTTTTAGGTGTCCAATTAGCATGTGTTCAGACACCATTCTGGAGAGCTGCCAGGTCGAAGGGAAGACCAGACTCTTGGGCCGTTCTGCCCTTCACAGAGCCAGTAGATCCTGGTTTCACTTTTTCCAACTACAGATACGATTTTTGTGGGCTTCTGATTTCGAAACCCAGGATAAAGACCTAGGGGGTCTGTCTTAAACTGAGTGGCAGTGATGTGGGAGAGAAAGCAGACCACTAATTGTCATAGAATTTCTTTGTTTCTCATAGTTTAGAAGAGAACCCCCTTCCCCATGTATGTGAAAGACATCGCTGCCGGGCGTTTCCTGTAATAAAAAATTGTGATAAATGATCCTCTGCTTTTTATCAGCTTTGCTTTTTATCACCCTTTATCTCCTAGCTTGTCATTACTCCCTAGAAGTGACCTCAGCTTTTATCAGTTATCCTTTAAGTGATCTTGAAGGAAGGGGAAGGTGGGGGTGACTAATTCCTTAGTGGTGTTGCCCTGATCGCTTTTTAAAATGTACCTCATAGCACTAGAACTATTAATAAAGTTCTGAGTAAAATTGCAGCAGGAGGTTATGTTCTTCTCTACTGCCAAAAAACAGGCAAAGGGCTTTTAAAAAAAAAAAAGATGCAGGAGAGAGTGGGCACAAAGATACGAATTGTTTTGATGTAGAAGTTGCAAGAAGTTTCATCTGTGTGAAAGCCAATGTTGTTGGTGTTCTGGAACAAGGGACTTCATATCTCATCCCTTCTTGATGAAGAAAGGAAGTGTGATGTGTCATGGGTCAGTGTTAAAATAGCACAGGCTTTTTGCAGCTCGTGGCCAGGCACGGGGGCTTCTTTCCTCAGGACACGACTAGGTGGACACAGTCCACCGGTGGGATTGTGAAGGCGTCTGAAAAGGGGTAAGATTTCTGTATCGAACACTGCCCTGGGAGCTGCCTGCCAGAGCTGTTGATCCGAAACGCTACTGTAGGGTTCTCTTTTCAGTCACTGAGTCAAGGAATTTGGAGCCGTAACTGACTGGAGCATGACTACAGCTTACGGGGGGCGGCATTTATGCCGGGGGTTTGGCCCGGCGTGACTTTTGACTGGGGCAAGAATTGTTAACCCCTGCCTTTGCTGTTGCCTATGTAAAGTAATACGGGTACAGCATTTCAGTCGCTGTCATTAGAAGCCTCTCTGTAAGCCTCTCTGTTTTAAATACTCTTAACCCAAGTTGATCTCTTGAATGGTGTTGGTATTTTGGGGCCTGGGCCAGCACTGACAGGTAGCTTTGTAGCTGATGGAGCACTCTCTTGTATCGGGGGGGGGATTGAGGCTGCGGTTTGACAAGTGTTCCTGGCAGCGCAAGTCCCACCTCATATTCCTGCCTTTCTGCTGTCCTTTCCATTGCGCCGGTACACCTCTTTGTGTGGCTGTGCTCTGAACTGGGTCAGGGAGCTGATCGGAACTAAAAATAACTTGGCAAAGAGAAGTTAACTGCAGAGCTACGCTGTTGTCCTGGCACGTCTGAGGAGGTGGATCGGGGTAGGTAGGGGCTATATGAACCAGCAAAACTGGCTCAAGAAAATGCTTATCGGACTTTCCTCAGCTGGATGCAACGGCTCTAAGGTGGTTATATACTACAGATAGGACTGTTAACTCTTAAACTCCTGTATGACTGAGCTTGTTCTGAATTGCATCACTACAGGTTGGGGGCTGACCTCCTGGAGAGCAGCTCTGGGGAAAGAGACCTGGGAGTCCTGGGGGACAACAGGATGCCCACAAGCCAGCAGTATGCCCTGGTGGCCAAGAAGGCCAATGGCATCCTGGAGGGCATCAAGAAGAGCGTGGCCAGCAGGGCGAGGGAGGTCATCCTCCCCCTCTGCTCTGCCCTGGGGAGGCCCCATCTGGAGTGTTGTGTCCAGTTCAGGGCTCCCCGGGTCAAGAAGGACAGGGAACTGCTGGAGAGGGTCCAGCAAAGGGCTACAAAGATGATGAGGGGACTGGAGCATCCTTCTGATGAGGAAAGGCTGAGGGAATTGGGGCTTTTCAGTCTGGAGGAAAGAAGGCTGAGGGGGGATCTTATCGATGCTTATAAATCCTTCAAGGGAGGTGCCAGGGGGATAGGAACAGTCTGTTTCCAGTGGTACCCAGTGATGGGACAAGAGGGAACGGGCACAAACGTGACCATAGGCAGTTCCATCTCCACCTGAGGAGGGCCTTCTCTGCTGTGAGGGCGGCAGAGCAGTGGCACAGGCTGCCCAGAGAGGTGGGGGAGTCTCCCCCTCTGGAGCCATCCCAAACCCGCCTGGACGCCGTCCTGTGCCACTGCTGGAGGTGCCCCTGCTCTGGCAGGGGGTGGGATGGGGGAGCTCCAGAGGGCCCTTCCAGCCCTCACCAGGCTGGGATGCTGTGAAGTTCTCATTCAAGGTGCTGCATGCTAAAGATGGCTGATGTGGGAAATAACCTGATGTGAACAGCACCTTTATGAACACACACTGGAATTTTAATCAGTTTGCAAACTATAATTTTGTCTGCCTTGGATGTGTGGAGATATAAGAAAGCTACAAAAGGGCTTGACCTGAAGATTTAGGGAGTCTTCTGTGACTAGTTAAGGTGAATGTCTGGACTTCCTACTCAGTTCCCTGCTTGCAGTTGCCCCCCCACACACTCCACCCAAAGCGTTATGTCAAGTGAACACAGGCAGGAAGAGTTTGAGATGATGTACAAGTTGAGAAGACGAAGGGCAGGAAGAGCTAAGAAAAGGGAAAAATGAGGTATGTCTGTCAACAGTTCTGTTTCTGATCTTAGTAACACCTTACAGAGCTGGTAAACAGCAGATGTCGTGAGCCTAGTGCTCTTTAGATGTCCTCAAAGCAGACTTGAAACAACTATGTCTTGAGACATTTAAGCTTCCAACACTTTTCTAGATAGGCTGATCACAACAGCTGCTGAAATGCAATATCCCAAAGGTCTCTGTTTAAATAAATTCAATTGACCCGTTCTGGGGAAGATTGCAGCACGAAGCCCTAGTGGAAACTGCTGGTTGTGGATGCTGGAGCACAGAGCTGGGTGGGAGCATTTTGTTTGCCTTTTGTTTTCAGCTATTTTGCATAGTGCCCTGATGCGACTTGGAGCTAATCCTCAAAGTGTAGGCTTAATTGCAACACGCCTGTCACTTAATTCACCTCAACTTTGTGTATGTATTTTCTTAATTAGTTTATTCCTCTGACAGTCACTTGCACTGTTGCTGTCTGTATGCGTTATACCTCTGTAGACGTCTTGGAACAAAACTTCAACCAGTGTCTGGACAACAGAGACAAACGCAGAGGGACCAGAAGGGCGGGCTTCGCTGTGGTGAGGTCTTGATCTGTCCTGCTGCCTCAAGCTGACTGGAGCCTTGTTGCTTGCAATTCCAGTCCTAACATCGATGTGATGAAACCTAATCAAATCACCCATGAAGCACAAGCAGTACTAGGAAAGGCAGCGAGGCGTCTTCATTGGTACTCCTGCTCCCATCCCTGAATCTGCAGAAGTGCTGAAGGAAGTGGACAGGTTGCACAGGAAGGTATTCATCATGGACTTGATGGAATTTTGGGATGAATCCTCACCAGCTCTAGTTAGCTTTTCTGAAGTCATCTCTCATGGCAAGAACCGAACCTCAGAGGTAGTTTGGGGAGAAGTGAAGTTCTGAAGCAGTAGGAGGAGAAACCATCATCACTGTGGGCTCTTACAGAGTAACCTAGAGCGGCAGCATATGGCCACTCTGCTGTCCCATGGCCTCACAGTCTTTTCCCATGAAGATGGTTTTGCAGTGCTCTGCCAATATTGCTTTTAACAAAAACATCTCGGTTTAAACCAGAACCCTGAGCGACAGCTGCAGCTTTCTTAGGCTGAATTCCACTCTAAACTGGGCTTGAAATGGATTGGCTGTCATTTACGTGAAGTTCTAGTGCACTGTTGTGTCAGTCTGGCTCAGTTTGTCTTGAATTTACCAAAGAGGAAAAAATAAGATGCAGAAAACCAGAGGGTGTAACTGCTTGCACTGGGAAAAATATTGCTGTCTGGCACAGCTAATAGTCTGTGTGCTAGAAATCCATTTTAATCTCTTCTGCAGAAGACTGAGCATTCCCTTTTGTCCTTGTGCTTTTCCATTCCCATATCTAATCCTTTATGAATATAGCATGGATTAGATGCATTTACACACTTAAAAATTCCCTTCAGATCTGTTTATAGTAAAGTGCAGAGTTTCTCGTCCTGCACCCTGTACTTAAACCTATTGATAAGCTTTAGATAAAATGTCAAAAAAGCAACCTTTCGCTATTCCAAGCTGTAATCTCTGGAAAATTGTTTTGGCAACACTTCAAGAGAATTCCCAGGAGTTTTCTGTCCCAGTGTTAACGATAGAGGTGAGCTTCCTGGCATTTCCTTGCCTTGTGTGCCACTGACATAAATGCCTTTTTGCTCCCTGAACTTTATTTATATTTAAAAAAAATAATAAAAAAAATCTGCCTGACCAAAGTTATGGGAAGAATTTAATGTTTCTGTAGTGGTCTGAGCTCAAGGACATTGGAGAGTGTAGGGAGGTAGTTGAGTTTTGGGGTTTTTTTGAGCAGGCTGTTTTTGTTATCAACGTGATTGAAAGGATACAGATTAGTTTGGCCAAATTAAAATAAACCACAGTTCTTGGCTGAAACTAAACATTAGGTCACCTGGGCTGGGCTTGTCATCTGTTCTCTGTCCCTCTACTTCCTCCCCAAATACTTAGTTTTCAGATTATTTCGTAATTGGTTTTGAGGTATAAAACATGAATAGTTGCACTGGAGAAAACGGGTTAAATTTTGTCCATGCAGAAGGCAGAGGTATGAATATAAATGAGGCTCGGTACCCGTTTTGTGTGTGTGCAAGCTACTCCCAGAAGGGACAGCTGCTTCCCCCATTTGCTTTCTTGACAGCTAGGGCCTGAGGCTTTCTATAAATAGAAAGTCATTGAGAAAATCAACAGAGCATGAACTGCACAGCTTTGCAGGAGTTTCCACAGTTGAATTTATGGTCTATGCAGTGGCAGGGAGGAAGGGAAGACATCCTCTCTATTCGCACATCCCAGGAAAGCTTTTATTCCATTTTATAGCATCAAATCCTCCTGGCTGGAGGGCTGCGTTGACAAAAGGCTGCTGGCTCCTTTTAGCTTTAAGTCCCTGGTCATGTCCTGCCAAAAAAAAAAATAAAAAAAAAAAAAAAATAAGGAGGGAGGGTGGGTGGGTTATGGGGGTGAGTCAGAGAGGATGCTGCAACTGAGCAGAACCTTTCCACCGTGCCCCTGTTACAGTGCTGAGAGAGGACAGCTCACGTTGTGATAGGTGGTGTGTAAATATTTGTGGCAGCGGCAGGTTATGGAAGCAGTGCTCTGCTGGTGTCTGTGGGAAGTAACTGCCTCATTGTGTTCCGGATGCCTCCTGCTCGGTCCCTGAATGCAGAGGACAAGTGCCTTTATGCAAAGTGAATTCTCTATTTGCAGACCTTCTATTCCTCCGCACTCCTTGCCTGCGGCCAGTGTTTACTCCTAACTTGAAGTGTGAGTGTTAACCAAAGTTGTCACTTCTGCCTTAAGGAAGGATTACAAAGGTTTTGCACAGGGAAGGATCTGTTTTGATGCTTCTTGCCGTAAAAACCAGCGCCTGCCAGCGCTATGGTTACATGTGGTTTGTGCAGTGAGACCTCTTGTGATCTAACCAGTTCCCCAAAAAGGGCTGCAATGTAAGCTAGAGGAGGCTGAAAAATTACTTGGGTAACCTTTTGTCTGTTTCTTGAAATAACTATTCTTCCTGCAGTGAGGTAGCAGTAATCTAACAGGCAGGTATAATTGACCGTACTGGGCTGGTCAGTACTGCGATGATGTTGGCCGACGCGACAGACTGCTCTGGGCTTTGTCTTCTCTCCCACCCACATCGTTGGGCAGGGAGTGCATTAAATGGTCACACTGTAATTTCCTTCTGTGATGCCTTTGCAGTAGACCTCATTGCTTGGTATAATTGATGTTTTGCACCATTAATGATTTATGGAGCCTGTACGTAATACCTTAGAAGCACGCTTCAGCCGGTCATGAAAGCCAAAGTTGATATTCCTAACTGGGATCTTGGGGAATGCCCTGCAGACAGAAGAGTTGGCACGTGATAATCCATGACATGATGGCTTTGTGGAAGGAGGGACATGTGGACAGAAGTTTGGGGCTATTTGGAGCAGGCAGCATGGATGTGAGAGGCTGGAGGGAGTCCCACCGTGAGTAGTGTGAAGCTCCCTGGCTGGCATAGCTGCGCAAGGAACCACAGCGCTGCGTCGCTTGCGGGAGCACTTGCACGGGGAGTAACCAGATTTAGAAATCTGTAGCTTGGAGTTGCTTTGTTACCTTGGAGATGGGTACAGCTAACAGCGTTCGCATCCTTCCCTTCCTTGGAGGGTACGACTGCTTATGTTGTCATCTGCAAAATGTCCGTCGGTGGAGTCCTAGCTGTCCTGCGTGTTTGGACAAAAGTGACAATCCTTTTGGCGCAGCTGAAGCGAAATGGCACGCGGTCCCGTTTCCCCTAAGCTGCCACTGGAAATATGGGCTGTTTGGCAAGGATGTCAGTAGTTCCTTTCTGCAAGGAACTGTGATCAAATTTATACTGCCTATCAAAGTAGCAACAGGACCGAGTGTTAATTTACCAAGCGGAATTGGAGAGACGAGAGTTGAGGTATGAATGGAGAGGGGAGAAAAGGGAAGGTCCCACCGGCAGATGAGTATGGGGTGGGAGCTGACACAGCGCGGAAGTGATGCAGGGGAGATTTCTAGCAGAACGCATGCGGAAAGCAAGATTAGCGCACATTAGACATCACTGTAGAATTGCCACATTGCCGCTATTCGCCCTGGCACTGATGTTAGTTCTCCTGTGCTTAGAACATTTTCTGTTGTCGTGGATGGAGTCATTCAATCGCCATGTGCACCTATTACTCTTTACCTTATTGGCTGCATACATGCATCGCTCTTAAAGCCGGAGAGGAAATTGAAACACGCCAAAGTGTGACTGCAGCCTAACCATACTGGCGATGTTCAGCATTGTGAACCTGTGGCCTTGTCTCCACTGAAGGCAAAGATCTTGCCTCCCAGAAAATCCAGAGGCAGGTGGGCAAACGTGCTTGTTCGTAGCTCGGAGATGAAGGCTTTAGCGTAGCTGTGAATGTTTCTCCATGCTTGGGCAGTTGATGTGTTTCAGTCCCTGGTACCGCTGCATCGAGGAAAACCTTTCTGATGGCAATATGCCAGCTTGCTCTGGGTACCACCACTGACTTAGAACAAGACTGGGTGTTGTGCTAGGTAGTGTGGGGGCAAACATGCATGCAGAAGAAAACCAGAGAGCGGTACCAGTCTCAGATCTTCACTGATCCCAGGAATTGCCATCACTAACTTATGTCTCTTCTGCCTTTGCTTCTCCAGGCTGCAGCTTATGCGTCAGAGGACGGTGTTCTTACAGAGGCCATGATCGATGCCCGGGTAGCTGATGCTGTGCAGCAACACAAACAGAAGATGGAGTGGCTGAAAATGGAGGGTGCTGAAGCAAGCAAAGGGGCTGGCAGCAACCCGCTCCTGCCTTTCCCCAAAGGAACACCAGTGTGAGAAGTCTGCGGGCTTTGGACCAGCATGTGTGGTGGAGTGGCCACAGGAGAAAGCTGGGAGGGTCTTTTGGGCAAGTGTTTGGTGGAATCATGTGTTGAAAGAAATTTGTCCGTTGGTGCAAGGGAGGGGGTACTGCCTCGGTCTGCCTTTCATTTCATGTTTTTAAAGTGCACCAGGAAAAAAAAAAGTTTAAGGCAGAAGCAACTGTATTAAAGGACCCCCTTGCTGAAATACCATTGACTGCGTTGGTCTGTATGGCCTGTCCTGTTAGAGAGGCCCAAACTCCAAATCCTTTTCAGCCATTTGACACTTCTGGGGTGTCCCAGCAACATGAGCCTGTGGGAACCCAGGGCCTGTCCAGGCCTGCTGTACCCATATATTTGATTTTGTAGGGTTTACACTCCAGCAGAAGTATTTCTCGTGGGTTTTTTAGCACATCCTGCCCATGATGTACCTCCTTGCTCACGTCGCTGTACAGCATCACTCTCTTGTTATCACTCCTTCACAGACTCAGGGTAGACTGTGTTACAGAGGTGTATCAGCTGTGGTTCACAGCTACACCTGGTGAAATGTGAGTTGGCACTTAGGAAAGGTTACAGCTGTGCACTGGGTTGGCTGATAAGCACTGGGACTTCCCTTGTGATGTGGCTACACCTGCTGGTGCCTTTTGTCTTCTCTGTGTTCAAGTCACCTGAAGGATGGCTGTAGAGCCCGCCTGCAGTGCTGCACTGCATGGGACCAAAAGCTCTGGAGCATGACTCCTCAGTGCCAAAGCCATAAGTGTTCCAAGCCTGAGAGTTTTTATTCTCCTCTAGAGTAGCATTGTAGAATAACTGCACACACTGCCTGCATCGCACAAGGTTCTTTGAGCTGCAGTGGAGCAGTTCTATTGCACAGTCTTGAAAGCACTGCTCGGGATGCTACATGGCCCTTCACCCACTGCTGAGCCGCGGCAGGAACCGCTGCATCCCGCGTTCTTACGTGTCTGTTCTGACTATAGAGCCCACAGTGTGTTCTTTGCTTTCCCCAGCCAGGTACTCGCTGCTACAGCTGCTCTGAGAGCAGCCCTAGACACTATTTTTTTTTTCCCCAAGTACATCAGCTGTGTTTAAGGCGGTGAGCAGGCAAGGCTCAGCGAGTCTGGCTGGCACACGGGTGTCCAGCGTGGGCTGAAGAAAGAGGCGTGAGCAGGACTTGTTTGCTACTGGCCGCTGCCGTCAAGCTGCTCTTGCTATGTGAGTCTTTTGCTGCATTTCTGGAACAATTGAGGAATACGCCGCTGTCAAGTCATGAACACAAGCCTGTCTCGATGGGGTGACATTTGTTCTGTCTGTGTGTGTATATAAGAGGTCAGAAAATTTGGTGTGGTGTTTTTTCTTTTCCGGAGTTTGAACTGGATTTGAACTCTGCGCTCTGCTCCGAGTCCCCTTCTGTGACTACGCTATGCGAGCACGTTTGCCTGACCTAAATCTGTGCCCTTGAGTACCTTGCTGAGATGTTCTCCTCCGACGAGAACTGACAGCAGTCTCTGCTCTGTCCACTTCACTGATGGCTGTTACTCAGCTTTGCCAGATGCACACTGACAAGAGCTTGGGAGCGTGGGAGCGGGACAGGGCTGGTCACCGGGGTCCGTGGAACGGGCAGCCTTGTGGGACACCAGGAAGGAAATAGTTCTTGAGGCTGGAAACCCTCACTGTCTTGGGCTGCCATCTTCTCTCAGAATAGTGTTCTGATGTCTTCCCTTGGATGCCGAGGGAGAATTTGAAGATGCATTTTGGAAGCTACTTCTGTAAGGACAAGTGTCCCACAGCAGGAGCGTGTGCCCAGATTTCGTGCCCCACTGACGTTTGCTTGCTGAAGGCACTTTGCCGTGGGCAGCGTGCTGTAGAGGAAAGGGAGGAACCACTGGATGCGCTGAAACTGCACGCTTTATATTCTGAATCACTGACATAAACTTGAATGCCATTTTTTTTCCTCCCCTTCGGCCTAGGTGTAGTTGTTCTTTAGTCCACTGATTTGCTAGAGAATTAGCTATTCTAGGCTTTCCCCTTCCTATTAAGATTTTACTGGAATTATATTAAGCCCCAGGAGATGGGAGGGAGCTAAGCAGAGCCGCTCTCTGCTGAAAACCCCTTGCTAATGAATTATGTCAGGGAGCAGTCTAATATTGTGTGATTAAAATCTCTAATTGTACCATCCACCTTCAATACTCTTCCTCTCTTCCGTAATCATCCTCATGAAGCGCAAAAGGAGCTGGGGGGAGGGGAAAAGTACTCCGTCTTGTCCTTACGCTCTCTGCCTGCGCTTTCGCTGGTACCGGTAGCTGGGAAGAGAATCCTGCTGTAAAGCTGCGTGAAAGGCGCAGCAGTTGCTGTCTCAGCTGTTTTCCTGCGATTCCTCCTTCAGATTGCATCAGGTCCCTACGGAAGCAGAGGGAGCCCGGTGCGTGTAGTGCAGCCATGGTCCGTGCTGCGCAGCAGTGATTAATGGCAGGTTCGGGAGAACGCTTAGCTAGAAGCAGCCCTTTGCTGTAGCAGGGAAGACGGCGGGAAGCACGGGCTGACCTAAGGGGTCTCGGGTTTGCCGGAGTACAGAAGTTCTATTCGGTGAGTTTTTAAGGGCCGCTCATAACGATGGATGCCACTAGTCCTTACCTGAGCTTTGCTGTATGGGCTTCATATGGATGCAAAGGACTGTCTGTCCTGAAGACAGACGCACGGGTGCTTTCAGGAACATGTGGGTGCCGTAGCATTTCTGCTGTGTCTTTTGATGATGCTCTGGTGTGACTCACTAGCTGGTGCCGCTTCTCTCCCAAGGGGCAAAGTTCTTTCCCCTTCTTGGGCAGCCCAGAAGATGATGCTCTGTCTACTAAATGAAGTCTGTTTTCTTTAGTTTCTTTTCCTTAAAAAGGTCTGGGAGGGCTAAGTAGAGACATATCTATACTTTATCCTAGGAACTTACTCCTAGGAGCAGGGCTCTTTGATATACAGAACTTGTCCCATGTGTCTCAACCTCCCTCCACTCTCCAAAAATCCTCAAGCAATCACCTGGTCAGAGCTTTGCACATCTGTGCTCTTCATGCTTTGTCAGAGGTGTGTTGCAGGCTCTTGAGCGAGCCTGGTGCTGGTTCCAGTCCCAGGAGCGGCGTTTTCTTCCCTCTGTTCGCAATCCCCCTCCACCACCCCTCCCTGGCGGCTTGTGACAGCATCTGTGTGTCTGACATCGCAGCGAATTCTCATCCTCCTTTCCAGAGAAGCTTGTGGCTCTGGGTGGAGTGGGCACATCCCTCGGTCCCTTTCTTCTTTCTTTTTCCCTGTTAATACAATGATGGAAAGTCCACAATCACATCTGCTCTTGGCAGCAGGAGAAGGACCGCTTGCACGAGCTCAGTAGCATGGATACATCATTTGTCAAACTCTTGCTGAATGATGGATGTCTTACTTTCCACCTGTGAAGAAGAGAGGGAGGTGGCACCTAGGCTGGGAAAAACTAAAGAGATGGAGCAGAAAAGCCAGAGATGAGCCCAATTCAAGAGGGTTGAGGAGGTGTGAGGTGCTACATCTGGTGGATAAGGTGGGTAAGGAGTGGCAGAGATGGTGTGGACAGCTTGTTTTGCTTGGGTCTGATCTTCCAACCTAGTTGTTTTCATCTCTTCCCACTGCGTTGAAAGAGTGGCACGGGCTTCCACTTGTACAAGCTGATGCCATTCGTTCTTCCCTGACAGTGTTTTGGGAGCTGGTGGGGTAGGTTCCAGCCAAATAATCCCGTTGCTTGAGCTCAACATCCTGGCGTTCTGGTTGGTGGCATGGGGAACGCTGGGAACACACGTAGCTGATGCTCTCTGCAGTCATGGTGCAACCTGGAACGACTGTGGCTCAGGCTGGAAAGAGCCGCTTTGCTCAGTGTTGACATTTCATTTTTTATTTCCATGGGAAATAAAGTTCTCCATCCATCCTCTCACACTTGCACACTACTCCTCCTTCCTTCACACCACGTGCCATGGGCTGTTGGACTGATGAAGCCGGCTCTCTCCGTGCTTCCCAGGCGCTGTTGCTACCAGCTCTCTAAATCCTGCTTTTGAAAAGAGATTCCTTGTCCCTCTTGCCACGCACGTCGCTCCTAGCCACCAGCTGGGGGAATTTCATACCCTACTGCCCGCTGAATAGCTGCGCCAGTTGCTGTCACTGCTGCTGCTCACCTGGGATGCAGCAGGGAAGGAGGGGAAAAAAAAAAAAAAAAAAAAGGCCACCTGTCATTGTTCAACTCCTGCCTCATCAAAGATTTAAACGCAGGGCCTCCGCCACCTCTGCCAGCCTTGTCAGTAAGTTTGGTTTGCTGTCAGCTCACAGGATGAGTGATGTCCCTGTGGAGGTGGCACCCAGCTAGCTGTTTGTTAACGCTCCGTGCAGGGATATAAGATGGCAACCTCAGGCTGAGGTTATCTCCTCTCCGTGACACCGAGTGAGTTATGAGCTAATAGCACTTTATTAAAATAGTATTTTGTATTGGAGAGCAAATCTAAGAGCAGATGGATTAGCAAGCCATCCGTCACTCCCCATCTTTGCCACTGCCAGCTGAAATGCCTTCTCTGTACTTCAGCGTTGCAGCTGGGAGAGAGATTTATAATGTGGTCATCTATCTCTTCGCAGTTGCCAGCCCTTAGAGTACGTACTTTTGAATGCGGCGCACTGGGAGGAAAGTTCCATTGTGGAAGCAGAAGGATGCGCGCGCCGCACGCTGTCTCACCGGCGCGTGTCCCACGCTGAAGGACTCAGGGGAGACGGGAACCTCCCCGGGAGGTATTCCCCTGCCGACCTGGGGTTGTGTTTTGAATGGAGAAGAAACACTCAGATTCTTTTACAATCTGCTGTCTGTGGCCGTTTCCATTTTATCGCAACATTATTATTCTCCCTATATGTTGTGGGGTTTGGTTTTTTTTCTAAAAAGTGGCCAATCTGATCAATTTGTACAGCCTATAATGCGAGTCACTGGCCTGCCCTGGGAAGCTGCTCCAGGAGGTTCAGGTTCTTCGCTTCTGGATGGCAGCCCATCTTCTG